ATTCGTCTATATGTCATCCCCAAAACTCAAAGTCCCACACTGTGAGGGCGACCTTTCCGCGAATCCCTCCAGTGCCACGGACGTGCGTGAATGAGTAAATATGGCCGAGACAAGATGAGATCTGTTTGGGGAGGAAGAGTGGGCTGTGGCCAGTTTCTCTGGGGAGAAAGGGGGTCTGAGCCTCTTTCTCCATAGCCTTTTATTGGGTTCTAATACACAGGAATACAAGGTGACAAGGATCAAACAGTAGATAACATTACAAAGAAATCTGAGGGCTTACTATGAGTCAGTGTCTGTCAGGAAGAGAGTTGCAGAAACTTTGGGAGACATACTCATTTCCTCTTGGACCCTTATCATATGAATGAAAGCACTCTTAGCAGAGCAGATTTCACAGGTTAATCAGCAAGTCTTTGTGATGCCAGATTTTCCCCCAGGACATGCTCTAGCAAGGCAGGGAGCTGCACCCCTTCCCAACAGGTATTCAGGCTTAAGGGCCAGGAAGTGCTTCTCCCAGGGAACACGGGACTCAGGCTTTGACAAAGCTGGGGGGTGAGAGTCCATTGCTCTTTGTTGCAGCCCCCCTCCCTGAGTCCTTCCATGAAGGCCTCCCAAGTGATCAAGTCTGGTTTAGGTTCCCCCCCCCAACCACCACTATGAGGGGTCTTACCCGTCATTGACTTCCGACCAAGCTTTGGGGTCAGGGAGAGGAACTAAGGCAGCGTTTGCTACAAGAGACAGACTTTGTCTCCTGTGGCTGGCATTCCAGAGGTCATCTCTTGCCCTTAGCCACAAGGGGTAGAGATACAATTCCTAAAATCAGGCAGAGTGGTCTACAACACCCCACTTTAAAAAACAGAGTCAAAAAGAGCCCATCGACCATTTCTACTTTCTAACCAGCTGCACCCCTTCTCAGAGGCAGTGAGCTCAGGGTTACCCATGTGCTCAGAAAAGGGGAAATACCAGGAGAGAAATGTGCCAAAATAACTGTATCACCACACCCACATTCAATTATTTATTCTTGCAGTGACAAAATTAGAAAACTAGGCAGGGTCTTAGGTATTTGCATGAAAGGACGCTTGCAAATCTAAGGCTGTAGTTCTTTGAGTGTTAGATGAAGTCAGTTGGTTTGTGCTGACAAAGGTTGGAACTGCGACGGGCAGCGTGGGGGCAGCAGCAGGGGCTCAGGCCCTGGGAGGAAGGGCTCTGGCCCTTTAGATCTGACAGTGCTTGCCAAGATTCTCAAGAAATAATAGTGGCCCAAAATGAAAATACTTATTTGATGGCTAATGTGGACTCTGCTTCCTCTCTCAAAACCTCTAGCAATTACATAACAGTTTTTACTTCTCTACCAGCCTGAGCCAGGCCTTTCCTCAACTCCAGTTTCTCCTCTGGCTGTGGCCTGACAGGATTTCTCCATCCTGGTGACCCTCACTCTCTTGCTTTGGGGTCAGGAGAGTGATACATCATGACGGCCTCTCAAATTGCAGACCCTCACTGTCAATGAACACTTATTGACATGGGTTGTTCAGAGCCTTGTGATGAGGATTCACACACTGTAAACCACAAGGGGCCTATGATATATTGGAAAAATGGGGTATGTGCATAATCCAGCATAGACTGTCCCAAACACTCTCTGGGTTCTTGCTCCAGGAGTCTGGAGAATTTGAGCACAAAGCATGACTGAGCTGCTGAATGAAAAAGGCATTGTGAGCTGCTTGTGAAACTTGAATTGCAGCTGCTTTTTGGAACTCTACCCCAAAATAGTTTAGCTCAATCTGCAGAAAATCAGGCCTGTATGGATGTGCCCAAGTACAAAAAAGAGTTATTTTTAGACCTTTATAAGAAATTGTGGAGGAAGTTACCACCTTAGCAACATCAGCAATTAAGACTAATAATACCACTTTCCCAGATATGTGTTTTGAAGGTTAATTGGAAAAAATATACATATGTAACACTGATTGCCATCCAGCTATATACTGGTATTGTTTGTTATTATTATATACTCAAGAAGTACAGCAGGTGCTTTAACATTATAATCTGACTACTAAGTACAGAGTGGGACTCTTCCCTCCCAACTCATCCCTTTTGTGTTTAAATAACACTCCGAGAGCCTCAGCATACCAAAGAGCCCATTTAAAAACTGCTATTTAAGATGAATGTCCTACCTAGTATGTTGCAATTTTAAACTATTCAATCAGAGAAGTACTTTGATGTTGTAAATACCTACACATCAGCTCATCTATTTTTAACTTAATCAAAATATTTAGGCATCTTCACAGAAATGTCTCATATTCATAAAATAAGGCAATAGTTATTTACTCTCAGGTACTATAATGTGTTTGGGGAAATCTCTATGTAAGTTGTATAAAAGGAATGAAAGCTAGTTTCATGGAACTCCATTGTCAGCCTAATGAATGCTTTAAGAACATATTGATTCAAATCTTGCCTGACTCTCTCCCTGGGGCTGTGAAGAGTGTGTCACAGTGGGTCTTAAAATGAGGGAGACCGCCTTTGCCTCACTTTCTTTACTGTCTTTGGAGCAGGGCTTCCAGTCGGTGGTAGGGGAGAATGGCTAAACTGTTAGAATGTTAACAGCCAGCGTGGTGGTCCCAGCATCTCTCAAGGGCACTTCAGAAACTAGTTGCAGAGAGCTGAGTAGCAGCTGGAGAGCACCCCAGAGAGCACAGTTGAGTGTATTATTGCACATGATTATATATTCAAATTGGTTTGAATTCTCTGGGTACCCATGGGGTATCAGGGGAGGTAGAAAAGAGCCACGCTGGGTCAGAGCAGGAGCTGTGGAAGAAGACGGTCTGACATTAAAAATGGGCTACAGATGTTTCCCTTTGGTGGAAAAGCCCCAGAGTGATAAAAATTCAGGCAATCAGGAAAGAACTATCAACCTGAAAAATGAATTTCCAAGTGACATATGATAATTCTTTTTAATACACTGATTCTACCTTGCATTAGCAAGAACTTCTTTTTCTTGAATCCTTTGTGAGTTTTTAAAATTCTCATATCATAGCATGGCAGGTTGACACATATTAACCCCGCTGTCTAGACTAAAAATCCCCAGGAATTATGAGTAAATGTCTGACATTTTGGTTAATTGCCGTTGGTGTCGGGGGAACTTTTGAGTGTTAGTGGCTATAGGCACAACCTTTGGTCATCTTCGCTAATGTGGTTTGGGAGGATTCAGAGTTGTGTTGGAAAGTGTGGGCAGATGAAGGGGAATTTGAAAAATATATGAAATTGCTTATTAGCCTTGTATGTTTGTGACCTTTCAATGCAAACTATGTAGAGAACTTTGCAAAATCATGTTTCCATGATAGATAGAACACAGAATATGAACATATCAACAATAACAAATAGAATCTGTTTAAAACATATTATAAGGTTGAAAGTTCTTATCAAGTTTTCAATTTCACCTGGGAATGTGTAAGAGATCCTAGCTGAGCTGGGCTGAGGTGGGACTTGGAGAATATAATGGAGCAAAGACTTGGAGCTGAGAAATCCAGATTGAGCACAGCATTATCCAGAAGGCAGGACAATAGACCACAGTGATGTACTGTCTGATTGGCAAGACCAGGGGGACCCTACATGAGAGTGAGGGCTTGGAGTGTTCGAACCACAGAGAATTTCAGAGCAAGTAATTATTTAAAGGTCTAACCAGCACTGCTCCATAGATATGTGTAATTGACCATTTTCTAGCAGCTACATTTTAAAAAGTAAAAAAGAAAAAGGTAAGATAAATTCAGGTTATACATTGTATTGAATCCAGTATATTAAAAATATTATCTCATCAACACATGGCACTATACACTTCAAGTGCTCAGTGGCCATGCAGGACCATGGGCGGCACAGGACTCAGTCAGGCTTTGGGCGTGAGGGAGGTACGGCAGGCAGGCGAAGGCCAGCCTCCTGAAGACTGATGGAGACTGATATGGAAACTGACAACCACGGAAAAGAACGTACAAGTGGTTAGAAAACTTATTTTAGTGTCTGCCTCATTCTGTTATCAAAGCTATATAAATTGAAATACCAGTGAGATGCTATTTCTTTCCTGTCAAAAGAGCCAAGATTTAAAAAAATTGCAGTTGCTTGAAGGTGTGCTAAAATCCTTATGCTGCTATTAGCATTGTAAACTAGTATAACTTTTTGTAAGCAGCTTACATTTCATGTGAAGAGCTTTGATTTGTTCAACTTCTAAGACTCTACAACAAAAAAAACAAAACAATTATTTGTTGAATGTTTATTATATAACATAATACGCTTAGCGCTTTATATACTTTAAGTCTTTTGATCCTCACAAAAACTCTATGAAGTAGTTATTATTATCCAGTTTTAACCATATAAAAATAAAGTATGAAAAATGTAGACATTAATGTTATTATAGCATTATTAAAATACGTTTAAAAAAATAAGCCAAGTAAAACTGGGGAAGAACCTAAATGTCTCCTAATCAGAGAATTGTTACTTACGTGAACGTATTCAGTGGAACTGATGTGTTTACAAAGGTTCTTAAAGAACGTGTAATATCATGGAAAACACACGTCTTAGTCTGCCATTGCCCCAGTTAAGCTGTATAGCAAACAAACACTAAACTCAGGTAACATAACGACAGTAAACTTGTATTTCTCATGCTTGTGTCTACAGATCGGCAGGGATGTGGCTTTGTTTTTTGGCCTTGGGTGAGCTGGCTTTGGTTGCAGGCTCAGGTATGATGCACAGGGTTCATTTTGGAACCCAGGTTAAAGGGGCATCTGCTACTGAAGGGAAGCTCTTTTCATGACAGGCTGCTGGAGCACAAGAGGGCAAGAATAACTGCACAGCTCACTTGAAGCATCTGCTTGCTTCATGGTTGGCTAACTACTCATTGGCCAGAGCAAGTCACAGGGGTGAGCCTAAAGCTGAGGGGTGGGGAAATATCCTCTGTCTGCCATGAGAATGTAACAAGAATGTATATGTGTGCTTCTATTATAGGGGAATAAAGAATTGACACCAGTAATTCAACCAATGACAGTCTGGTCTTTATTGCTATTGTTTACATTCCTCCCAACCAAACATCCCAGAAACCTCTTTCCATGATGGCATCAGGCTGGAAAGATAGCATCACTGGATCTACATCAACTCCAGGTGTGATTCCTCTTAATCCAGGCACCTTTAAAGTAAAGACACAAGTTATTTTACCCCACTCAACATACAAAAGTGGAACAGGAACTTGATGACCACAGTAAATACCCCCATTCTAATTGGGGAAGAGTGAGAAGCAGATAGCAGTCTCAGGTTTGCAGCAGTTGTGAAATCCCTGCAGGCAAAAGTTGGAGGGTTCCTCTGCCTTGGGGGAAGGGCGTGTTCTTGCATTAGGTCCCACTGCTGCTCCCTGGGAATAGTCCCCACACCCTAGTCTGATTTTTTTCCTCTAGACTCTTGGATCCACTCTTTGAGAGGTCTGTCTCTGCACAAATCCCCCCTTGGCCAAGTCTAAAGACAGCATTGGGGACTGCGCCTAATTTGGTGGCTGAGCAACCTTCTCAGCCTGCTTCCTGCCTGAAGAAACCTGGAGGAAGGCGAGTCCAGAAGTATTTTTATTTCTCAAAGAGTCATAATCACTTTTAGTTTAAGCTGATAGAAATTTTCTCAATGCAACTTTTTATCTCTGAAAATTCTGGGATTTCTGGGCTGTGTTTATTCACTCTCAGTTCTGTCTTCAAGCCAGCCATGTGTTTCCCCCGAATTCATCTCTTAGAGTACCTTTTCAAATGCAATTAACAATAACCCACTTACTCCATCAACACTGTGGCTTGAAACTAGCTTGCTCCTTATCCCAGCTTTATTGGGCCCACTTTCTGTCTTTTGGTTTATTGCATGTAACCATTATAACAATGTTTCACTGTATATAACATGCATTAACATTTTCCCATCCTCCTATAACAAGTTCTTTCTTGCCTGCTCCTTGGTCCCAGAGCCAATGGCATATATTTGGGGATTTATCATGGCAGCATCCCATTTGTAGTAATAATTTCCAGTCCTATTCAGCTATTGCCACAATAATGCTATGTAACAAACAACTACAAAATCTTACAGGCGTGCAGCAATAAACATTTGTTTCTCATTTATGTGGATTGACAGGTTTGGCTCAGCTTCCTGCTGAGCACCAGTTGGCTTAGCTCTTGGCCATGAGTCGTGTACAGATTTATCCCACTTTGCGGTAGTTCTGCAACTGTGGCTGTGTGAACTCTTCTCGTTATAAACAACCATGTCGGCACATTCCAGGCCTCTGCTTTCATCATGGTGTATCAATAATGATTTTTTAATGCTTTGACATCTTGGGGCCTTGCTGATTGGAGGGACTGTCCCTCCCAGGGAGAGCTAATTCCTGGAAATGGCAAACAACTAGCTTTCGAAGAGTGCACCATTCACATGCAAACCAAATCAGAGGCCATAACCCCAAACATCACCTTCATGTCAGTCTATAAATATTAATTCCAGGTCAATAATCCCCTCACTCAGTCACCCCAGGGCCAGTACCAGACAACTAGCGACAGCCTCTACACCACAGAGTACATTGCAAATTATTCGCACTGGCTGAAACTGTTTATTCTAGCCTCATCTATTCCTTCCCAGGGAAACCACAATAAAGTTCTTGCCCACAATTTTCCCTCATTCTCTCTACCTCCTGACATACCCTGGTGCTTCCTTGTGTGGCCTGTGTATGCCCCCTTCTCTTGCCATCTCTAAGTATAACAAACTTTTTTTTTTCAAAAGCCCTATGTGCTGATCTGTTGGCCTTTTCATACCTAAGTTAAAAACAAACAAGCAAACCTACTTTAGCCCTGACCAGTGTGGCTCAGGTGGTTAGGCATTTTCCCTCAAAGTGAAAGGTCACCAGTTTGATTCCTAGTCAAGGCGCATGCCTGGGTTGTGGGTTCTGTCCCAGGTCCAGGCACGTACAAGAGGCAACTGATTGATGTTTCTCCCTCACATTGATTTTCTCTTCTTTTCATTCTTCCTCCCTTCTCCTCTCTCTAAAAATAAATAAATAAAATCTTTGTTTAAAAAAAAAACAACTTTAAAAAGAATTCATCTGCTAATATCCCTTTGACCAATTTGAGTCACGTGGTCGATCGAGCCCAGTGTTTAGGTGTGAGGAAGTACTCTTCACCCACGAGCTTGGTGAGAGTGAATGCATATTTGTATTAGAAGGCAGCAAAAAATTGGACACTGTTCACCAGAGTGGCAAGAGTGTGGATGTATAATTCTGTTACCGTGGCTATGTAACCTTATTAGAGGGGAGTGAATAATTGGGACCAATAATTTAATTTGCTACACTGTATGTATATATGTATATGGTATTAAGAAGAAAAATGAGATATGCAACATGATTTCAAATATGTAAAACAGAATCTATGTAGAGAAAAAAGTCTTGAAGGAAAGATATCCAACTGTTAACAGGGTGTATCTTGGGGTGCTAGGATTGTGGGTGATTAAAATTATTCTTCCTCTATTTTACAAATTGGGTTTCATGAGAATATATTCATTTCATAGTTTAAATATACTCTATGAACTAGAAGCTCTGTGTCCCAAGTGTTAAACTAAACTTGCTGGAATCTCTTCTGTGTATGAGCAGGAATGATCCTAAACACCTGGGCAAGGAAGATTTGCTCCTGCTTCTGTGAGAACAGAAAGGTCTCTGGGGCAGGGAACCGTGCAAAATCTGACATGGGCTGTCCTCTCTCTATTATTTAAAGTATGGCTCACAGTTCACCTGCACTGGCATGACCTGGACACTTGTTAGAAACACATAGTCCCAGTCTTCACCTCAGAAGTACTGAATCAAATCTGCACTTGAGAGACTTCTCCAGGTGGTTTATAGGAATTACTATTTTAAAATGAAAAGTAGGCAGGTAGTGGAATAGATAGGCAAACAGATTGGCTGGTGCAGCGACAAAGAACCAACAATATTTACACAATGGATTACTCGGTCTGCAATAGTTATTGATTGCCAGTTTGATGAGGGCCACTGTTTCAGTAGAATAATGTTTCCTCTCCCAAATTATAACAGAGAACTGTAATTCTGGGACGTGTTAGGAGAATATTAACCGGTATCCCACTGTATTAGTTCCTCATGGCTGCTGTAATATAACCACAAACTCAGTGCCTTAAAACAACACAATTTATTGTTTTACTGTTCTGGTGGTGAAAAGTCTGAAATGGGTCTCACTGTGCTAAAAACAAGGTGTCAGGAGGGGTGTGTTCTTTCTGGAAGCTCCAGGGAAGAAAGATCCGTTTCCTTCCCTTTTCTGGCTTCTGTGGGCTGCCTGCATCCCTTGGCCTCACTCCATCCCAGTCAGTAGTAGCCAGTAGCGTCTCCCTTGCTGCATCACTCTTAAATTGACTCTCTTTTGCCTCCAATTCCATTTTCATTCCAATTCCATTTTAAGAACCTTTGTCATTACTGGTCCACCCAGGTAATCCAGGATAAACTCTCTATTTTAAGGTCAGCTGATTAGCAACCTAAATTCCAGCTGCCAACTTAATTCTTGTTTGCCATGTAAGGTTCTAGGATAAGGACACAGGCATTTTGGGGAGGCCATTATTCTACACACTACATCCATGAGCTAGAGACTTGGAGATCATATGATTCTGCAAATAACATTCCCTTCTTGGAGTTTTGCAGTGTATGTTAGCATAGTAAGGGCTCTGAGAAATCTTGAAGTAAAGGAGCCTACTTAACTTTGCCCAACCCAGGAACTCTTCTTTTACCTGCACTTTTCATGAATCTGAGCCAGAGAAATATGCAGAAATTTGGAGTAAATGAAAGAACTTGTTGCTGCCCTGAAGGAGTTGAAGAAAGGTGTTCATTTTGAAAACCATGGACTGCAAATCCATCTAGACTTCATTAGTACAGAGGGAAAGCAGGGCAGAAGAGTGAGAACATCCATGACACCAGGGGCCCCCACTCCCTGGCTTCTGTTCCATGAAAAGGCAGCACCGAGTACAACAGTGGTGGTGGGTGCCTCTGCCTATTTCCATTTTACCAGTGACATATTGCAGTATTATGAATGATTTTTAAAAATCTGTCCAGATCACTTCCTTAATCTCGATAACGCTGTTTCTCATTTGTAAAACTGGGTTAACAGTATCCTTTTCATCCAATATTATTGTAGCAGTTTAATTAATTTTAAGATGCTTTTGGGCATCAACATGCAGAAAGAGTTATTAAATTTCAGTGCCAAATATTATGATGCTAATGAGGATTAGCTCGACAATATTTCACTGCATGTGCAACTTTTCTATTCATCTACTGCATAAACCATCATACAGTATTATCTCTATAGCCAGAATAGCCACCTTCTTTCACCTTTTAGACATCTCATGTTGACACTAAGAAATATAAACTAGAGAAAGCTGTGTCTTGTAAAAACAAATCCCAGAAGGCATGTGTTTTATGTGGTGATTGCTTACAATAAAAAAGACTTAGAAGGTCTCACTGGTTCTGAGATTATTCATGCAGCAATTAAGCTATTGATGACAATCTGTTTTTATGATAATAAGTTATAAGCTATTCTGAACCCACTCAACAAGGCATCGTATAATGCTTGCAGCCTTCCTCAGGACCTTTTACTGGGATACCTGTTTGCTTTCTTGATTAGGGAAAGCTAAAATATATAGGCATTAAAAAAGTTACAAATCAATTGTAATTTTCAATGAAGTAGAACTTGCAATTTTAGAGTGAAGAATCACAAAAGAGAGAAATTGTTAGGTACTCTGACTTACAATCTTGATAATCTTATTTATCTTAGCACAAATGCTTTCCTGGAGCTCCTAAATTGTGTACAAGACACAAAGGAAGGGGGCCTATTTATTTTACCATTTGAAAAGAACAAAAGGGATTTAAAAATTTTGTTTTTGTGTTGCTATAGGTTTTTAAGTAACTACAGCTGACCCTTGAACAACATAGGTTTGAACTACACAGGTCCACAAACAGGTAAATTTTTTTCAGTAAATATGATTGTTATTTTTTTATATCCTGGGTTTTTGCATCTGTGGCTTCAACCAACCGCATATCAGAAGCAGAGTTTTTGAAATCACAGCTGTGATTTTCCAACCATCGATTCCCAGCTTTGGATCAA